CTACAAGATTCTTGAATTGGGCTGAAGCTTGTTATTAGAATTTGATTAACATTTTTATGCATTCAGTTATTAGTTATGAGGAGTATAGTTTTGTTTATTTATTCATAGTTTGTTTTGAACGAGCATATAAAAACCATGTATATATATTCTAGTAACAATGAGGGTTATTCTAGTATCATTGAAGGTTTAACACATGAAATTTTATTAATGTTTAAAACTGAACTCAGATTTTGTTAAAGAAAAAAAAAAGAGCTTTTGGATACCATTTGAAAGAAAATTATTGGGTTTAAAACTAATCTTGTAGTCAGTATTTTATTGTTTTATGTTTTTGTAAGTTTCACACATTTGAATTTGAAAGCTTTTTTCTTTTTTTTTTACTAGTGGAATTAATTCATGTAACTCTTGATGTGTTTTTTGGCTGAGCATAAAAACCTTTTATGCTGCTCAAGTTATATTATAATAAATATTTTTAAGTGGGTAATGGTGAAGTTCCCTGTTATGTACATCAACATGCATAATAAATCATAAAAATGTTGCCTTTGCTTTATGCACTTAATAACGAGATGCAGTTTATTACAGAGATAGAGTCCCGAATTATTACTAATGAGATTGCATTTTGTAGTTTACTAAATTTTTTTCTTTCGAGGATTTAGAGTTGTCAAATAAATATATATTTTAGTTGTCTGATTGGAATATTTTCAGCTTTGGGTTATCATCATGTATATAGATGGCATGCGCATTTGCAAATTATTAGTCACACGACATGATCGAAGTATTATCTGGTTCAAGTGTTTGTAAATTTAGGTGTTTGTAGCAATGGTAGATTCATCACAAGGAAATGAAAAAGTTCAGAGATACGAAATATGGACATCTGAAGAGAGTAATGAATTGTTTAGACTCATAGTTGATGCAGCCAATCGCGAATGGCGTGATAAGTCTGAAAATTTGAGTAAAGTAACCGTAGAGAAACATATTTTGCCCCCTCTTATTGCAAAGTTTGGAACTGAGAAGACGTATGCTCAATATAAAAGTCGTGTAAAATGGTTTAAGAAGCAATACGATAAATATGCCAAGCTTATGCGACATAACAAGGGCTTTGGCTCGGATGACGTGTCCAACAAATTCACTATTGATGAACATGTGTGGGAGGACTACTTTAGGGTAAGCATGTTTTATTGATAATACTTGATATGATTAAAATATTTCATATCATAGTGCTTAAATGACCTTTTTTTTTTCTTTTACTAGTCTCATCCCAGGGATACGAGTTACAAGACAATCTTTTTCTGATTATGAAGATCTGAGAATTGATGTTGGATGTGGAATAGCTACTGGCAAAAGCTCAGTTGCAATAGGCGATGATGTTGAAGAAACGACTTTTTAGACGAAAGAAAGAATGGAAAATATTAATTCCATAGACGACGTGATGCTTGATCCAGATTCTGAGGTGTTCGTTAACACTAATAGCCATCTCGACCATATGCCATGATCTCCGATGCACTCTCCACCATTCGCTCAACACAAAAGTTCAGAAAAACGTCCATCCGTTCGAAAGCGAAACGGAACTAATTTGGAAGCAAAAGCACTTCATCTGACCTGACAACCTCACAGAAAGTGTTAACAAGATTGTCCGTGCTCTTGAGTCTGTTGACACTAAAGAGTATGACTGTTGGGACATTATAAAGTAGATTCCAAACTAAGACGTCGATTCACGCTTCAAGGTCCTTGATTTGCTTAATACTAGAGCAAAGAAAGCATAGTTTTATGGTACCGGATGAACGTTTGAGATGGATTGCATATAAATTAAAATGGTCTGTTCTAGCTCCATGTGACATAATAAGTGGTTCATGTTTTTAACTTTGATTTTTTGACATAGCATTAGTTATTTTCCTTAAGGATATATGCATATGGAATTTGAACCTTATTTGGAATTTTAACCAATCCAATGGTTTTTTATTTATTTATTATGTCGATTATGTTTTGAAATTAATATTATTGTTATTTGATAAGCCTTTCATACCATTAATGATGATGTATTTTTTTTTTCGCTCTTTCTTTTTTAGGTACTTGTATTCACATAATGTCTGATAACATGATGCATGGAGACAATGTCACCATCATGGAAGAGAATGAGGAAAATGACTATGAAGAGACTTTACATGAAGCTAATAGGCTCTTGTGCTTGGCAATTCAAGCAATTCTCTTCTTGTTGAACGAGCATATAACTAGTTCCTTTCTTCAAGGGGAAAACCGCTCATTGGCAAGGCGACTGGTAACAAGTCATGGGCATGATTATATAAATAAAATTTTAAGAGAAGACCCAGATAACTTTCGAGAAATTTATAGGATGTATTCTCAAGTGTTTCTAAAACTATCTTACATCATAAGAGAAAAAAATTTACTACAAGATACAATGTAAATCTGTATCGAGGAAATGCTTGCAATGTTCTTGCTCATCGTTGGTCAAAATAGTCGTTATTGTGCGATTCGTAAATATATGGCCGGTCTCATTTCACAGCAAGCCAAAATTTCAGCAAGGTTCTAAAAATATTAAAAAGGCATGCTGTTGATATGATGGTCAAGCCAGGATCTACAGTCCCAGAGAAAATAAGAGAGAGCACAAGGTTTTATCCTTATTATAAGGTAAGTGGTATTATTTTCTAATTAGATTTGGTGTTAGTATAATTGTTAGATAGTGGTTTTATCATTGTTATTTTTATCACTATTTACTAAACTTTTGGTTATTCAGGATGCTATTGGAGCTATCTATGAAACTCATATTTCGGTAATGGTGACTGAAAAAAATGCTCCAAGTCATAGAAACCGCCACGGGATTATTTCACAAAATGTTTTGGTTGCTTGCAACTTTGATCTAAAATTCATTTAAGTAATTAGCTGTTTGGAAGGTTCAGCACATGACTCCAAAATACTCAGTGATGCTTTAACTAGGAAAAATGGACTCAAAGTAACTCAATGTATGATATATATATATATATATATATATATATATATATATATATACACATATGCACAAATTTTTAGTGACAAAACATATTACAAATTAGTTTATTTTCTTTCATATGTATATACATTTTCCTGATATGACTTATGAGTTGATAATTAATAATTTAATATCCAGGTAAATTGTTTCTCGTGGATTGTGGATTTCCAAATCGATGTCAATTTTTGGCTCTTTTTCGAGGTACTAGATATCACCTTCAAGATTTTTCTGGTCAAGGTCGTCATCCTGAAAATGCAAAGGAATTGTTTAATCTTCGTCACGCTTCTTTAAGGAATGTGGTGGAGCAAATATTTGGCATATTTAAATCTCGTTTCATAATTTTCAAAGCAGCCCCTCCTTTTCCATATCGTACACAAGCAGAGCTAGTGTTAGCTTGCGCAGGATTACATAATTTTCTGCACAAAGAGTGTCGGTCTGACGAATTTCCAGTTGATATTGAAGGAGTTTCAACAGAAGATGAAGCGCAAAATTTTGGACCATATTTTGAGAGTCAAGAACATGAAAGAGAAGCTGCAAATGCGTGGAGATTGAGTTTGGCAACGAACATGTGGAATGATGTTGGAAATATTTGTTGTATTGTTCATTTCATTTTTGCTCTTTTTTATTTTTCTAATTCCCGTACAATGTCAATAAGATAACTATTCTGCTCTTTTGGTTCGATTGTTGAATGTTTTTCATGTTTGTTTTCTTATTGATTTCATTTGTTATAATATTTTTTTTTCCTCTTATCTTCATTCTTGCTCTGGATAGTGCTTAATATCATAACACATTTTAAATTAATGTTATAATTTTTTTAATTACTAATTTGACTTGATAGATACTAGTTATTATGCACATATATTTTTATTAGCATTTCATAAAAATATATTATTATATATATTAAGAATTATATAAAAGTCTTAAAAAGTCCCAAAAAGTTCATATTGGAAGTCTTAAAAAGTCTCCATAACAATCCACAAAATCCACTATAGTCATTAAAAGTTACATAAAGTCCATAAAAGTCATCTACTTTAAAAATTCTTAAAAAGTCACTAAAAGTCTTAATTGAATATACCCTCTAAAAGTCCTAATTGAATACACCCCTACATGAGTTATTGATTTAGTCGTACTCTGATATTTTAGCATTGTAGTTGTTGTTTTGTAGAAATGAAACTTGCATATTTCTTAAGATGTTTTGTATTTCTGAAAATGTGAGTCCTGAAATTTCTTAAGATGAAACTTGCATATTTTTATTATTCATTACGTGGTGTTTATTGTCGTCAGGAAATGATCGTCTGGAGATGGCACACACACACACACAAACACTTAGCAACCTTGCCATGAAATTCAGCCTTAAGTTGACTATGGTGAATAAAACTTTCTTTTTATTGTCTTTTTCCATAAATATTATTGACATTACAAAAATTATTTTAATGAAAGTGTTTTGTATTTCTTAAGATTAATATGCCAAATCAACCACAGTGAATCTACAGTATCTTAATATTTTTGGAATAACATAGTCACTATTGAAGGTATGCAATTTTTCTCAATAAGCATCATGCTTGTCAATTACCAATGTATGCAATATTTCTATATAAAAAAGTGTTATATTGAAAAGATTTCATCTAATTATATTATAATTTCCATAAATTATTTTTAGAACTAATAACGTTGTATACCGAGAAACTTTTTAAAATTTGAAATAATATTACGACGTATTTTTTTTAATTTTTTAATTATTATGTAAATTATTATAATTCTACTTTTTTGAAATATAACTTCTTTTAATCATCTGTGTAGTACATAGGTGTTGTACTAGTATAAATTATGTATCATCACGTCGAGTACATTACTAGTTACTAGGTTAAATAAAAGGGCAAAATTGCATATAATATCACGATCTTTATCGCGATTGCAAATTAATCACGACCTTTCAACTTTTGCACAGAATATCACGGCCTTCAATTTCTTGCAAAACGATACACGGACCTCATTGACGTGGCACCCAAAATGACACCTCAATTGCTGAGTTGTATTTACCATCCAATTTTTTTTCCACCTCATCCCTAGACGGCGTCGTTTCGTCTGGCGTGGAAAATCTCGATTTTTTTTCCACCTCACACAGAAACGACGTCGTTTCTCATTCAATTAGATTATAAATTTGAATCAGTTGCATTTCATAATCCCTAAATCCTTCCGTGTTCCTCGTGTTCCTCGATTCTCTCTGCGCTCTCAATAAAAAATTTCATCAAATCTTTCTTGTCTATCAATTCTAACCTGATTATCTTATTCTCGTTGTGGTCCCCCGACGACTTGATGATGCAAAAATGGCGAACAGATAGGATCGTAAACTATTTTTTTTCTTTTGTTGTCGATAAATTAGGTCAATTGTTTTGGAAAAATGAGGGTTTTTTTTGGATTTAGGGTTCTATTAAGTAGCCCATGTTTTGACTAAACTAGTTTTCTAATTACATTGTTATGTATGTCGTGATTTTTTATTATTCTACATTTAGGGTTAGGGTTTTGTTAATTACCCCATAATTTTTATTATACATTGGTTTAATTATGTTAATATGTACTCAAACCTGCTTTTGCATTAACCTATTTATCTAATTACATTGTTATATATGCAGTGATTTCTAATCATTCACTGTTTAGGGTTTAGGGTTTTGTTAAGTAGCACATAATTAGGATTATATAATGGTTTAATTATATTTATATGTACTTATACCTGTTTTGCATTAACCTAATTTTCTAATTATATTGTTATATATGCAGTTGTAACTTGATGATTGTTATAAACCACTGTGGGCAGTTGGTAAAGCTTGGCAATGATTATGAGTATTATGGAGAAGAGGTCACTGAAAGATATGGATTTGACAAAGATAGATTTGGTTATTTTGATTTATTAGAAGAAGTTCAAAAATTAGGGTACACTAAAGGAGAGAAACTGTATTATAGGGCTTACAACAGTAGAAAGTATATTCACATGCACAATGATGAGGGTGTCATGGAAATGCTTTCTAAGATGGAACCTGGCAGGCATTATGTTCAAGTATATGTTGATTTTGGTTCCACAAATGAAAGTAGAGGTGATGATAAGCAAAAAGGCATAGCAGCTGTGCAACAAGCAACTGATGATAATGTTTGTGAGTATAGCACATATGAGGAGTATATTGTAGAAGAAGACAGTTCAGAATCAGATGGTCTCAGTTTAGATGAAATAGAAAGTTGTGAATTAGATGCACTTGGTCAACTTAGTGGAGAAGAATTGGACCAGCTTATTGATAATTTTCATGAGGACAACACAAATGTATATTCCAGAAGAAGAAAGTTCAGAATCAGATGGACTGAGTGGAGATGAATTAGGAACTGATGATGAAGAATACTTTGAAGCAAGGAGCAAAAGAGTTGGACCCAAAAAAGTTGCAGATGAAGAAACTGAAAATTTCACGTTATCTTCTGAAAAGGGGTGTGGTTCCACAAATGAAAGTGACTTTCAGTCTCTGAGGGAAGATCATTCTGATTATGCAGACTCGGCAGAAGAGGTTTATTCCGATTCTTCAAGCTCAGGAGGGTTTAGTGGAGATGATGATGTCAGTCATAGGAAGAAGAAGACAAATATAATAATGTATGATGCCAAGGTTGACCATAAGCAATTCAAGGTTGAACTTGGTATGCGGTTTGAGTCAGTCACTCAAATTAGGCATGCTATTCAAGAGTATTCCATATATAATGGTCACAATATTCAGATATGGAGACAAACTCATAATCAGATTGAGGCAAAGTGTATAGAGTCATGTCCTTGGAAGTTGTGTGCTAGCACCATAAAGGCAGAAGGGAGAGTAGCCATCAAAACATCGATTTTAGATCACAAGTGCTCTAGGGACATGAGAACCAGACAAGCATCTACAAAATGGATTGCAAAGGAATACCTTCAGGCATTCAGGAGAAAACCAAAAATAAAGATTGGAGACCTTGAAGAGATGATACTTGAGAAGTATGATGTGCAACCATCCAAGTGGAAGTTGTACAGAGGCAAGTACAAAGCACTACAAATGTTGAGAGGCACAGAAGAGAAGCATTACTCATGTCTGAGGAGTTATGTTGCTGAGCTACTCAAAGTTGACAGAGAGGGTCGGTCTGAATTTCTACTTGATGAAGGTACTGTGTTCAAGGGCTTTTTTGTGGGATTTAATGCATTAAAAAAAAGGTTTTTAAGTGGGTACAGACCAATAGTTGGTTTAGATGGAGCTTTCTTGAAGACTGTGATTGGAGGGTATTTGTTGACTACTGTGGGGAAGGATGCAAACAACCAGATTTATCCCATTGCATGGCCAGTGGTGGATTCTGAAAATGAGGCAAATTGGAAGTGGTTCTTGAATATTTTGTTTGAAGAGTTTGGAATCAGGGATGGACTGGGTTGGACCTTTATTAGTAACCAGCAAAAGGTAACTAAACTACCTAATATAATACATAAATTATGTTTTCCATTCCTGAAATATGAAATACTTTGTGTATAATGTTATATAACTTTTACCTTGTTCAAATGGATTGTAGGGGTTGATTAATGCAGTAAAAGAGTTGGCACCATTGGCAGAGCATAGGAATTGGGCTAGACACATTTATATGTACTGGAAGAAAGCACAAAAGGGTCAAACACTGAAAAGCATCTTCTGGAAGTGTAATGCCCCGATTATTTATGAATAATTTTGGGATTATTTATTTTTATTATTAATATTTATTGTTATTGTTATTATTATTATTATTATTATTATTATTAAATGCTTATTTGTCATTAAATGTCTAAATGTTTATTATTATTAATTAATTAATGTGTGTATAATATATATATATATATATATATATATACAGATAAATATTATCCAAAGTTCATTTTAATTGTCGTGCAATCAAACCAAATTTATCCGTTTTAACTTGTTTTCGAACCATTTTTGACCCGAGCTTCTAGAATTATATTCCGGCCCAATTTGAATTAGTTAGTTCGGCCTATTTGAATTAAATTCGGCCCCTTTCAGATTTAATTTTATCTCGAATTTAGCCGGTTTAATTTTATCACGAACCGTCTTTAGTCAATTTTTCATGTCGCATTTATCTTCGGCCCAATTGCAAGGAAGTCTCGGCCCAAGACCAAGAATTATTTTCGGCCCAAATTTGTGTTATGCTCGGCCCATTGGGATTTCCTTAGCAATTGAGAAACCGACTTTTACCCTATTATTTTCCCACTCGCGCAGCTTTTCATCAGATATTGAGAACCCTTCTCCTTCGATCAATTTCTCGCCGCAGTCACGCAAGAGAAATCTGATCGCACATCCCTCAGCCTTTCTTCTCTCTCGCTCATCGCTCTCAGCACCTCATCGTCTTTCTCGCATAAATCCTGTCACCCCCTTACCATCACCAATCATTCCCATCATCATCATCACCATCGCGTTGCCGCCAGCAGACCCCACTCGCAGCGCCGCTGTGAACCTCCCTTCGCGAATTCACTACCAGCACGCCGACGCCGCCTCCCCGCCGTGAACTAGTCACGCCACCTTGCTCGTGAACTCTCCTCCTACGTCGCAGACGAGCAGCAAGTCGCTGCTCTTTCCCGGCGAGCCCTCCGCCATCGCAGCAATCCTCCTTTGGCGACCCCAGCAGCGAGCAACCTTCGGCGAGCCTTCCTCCGCCGTCTACTGCTCCTCCGTGTCAAGCACCGAGCACCGCAACAACCGAGCAGCCGAGAACAGCCGCCGTTGCTCCTCCTTTCCCGGTGAGACGCGTGAATCCATCGAGCCCGTCGTTCCCGTTCGTGTCCTTTGTTCCGTTCTTCCGAGCTTTTCCCGAGAACGGTACCTAGTCGAATCCCATCTCGTTAAATCGTGTGTATCGTTTTTGTTATGCGTTTATTTGACGTGTTGAGCATGCCTTGCGATTTAATATACACGTTATGATGTTATGTGAAAATTCGATTCAATATGTCGATTATGTTTTGTGGATCTCTTCGATTTTGAGAAATCGAGTGAGATCTCGAAACGCGTGTAAGTCTATGGATTATGGAACCATGTCGAGTTCTTGGCCTTATGGGAAGGCCTCGGACGAGAATTATATGTTATGAGTCATATGTCAACTTATCGAACACGTATACTCGCTGGTTTAGAGTTAAAATTGTAAAAAAAAAAAAATTGTGTACTACTCCGATATCTTTGAAATTTTAGGTGTAATTGCCTCTGCCGATGTTATAGCTCGTGCAAAAATGCCATGATTTTATGAGGTCTGTAACTATTTTAAATAATTAAAGTGCATTCTGGGCGGAAACATGTTAAATGCATAATAAATTGGTTCGTGCTTCAATTATGCTGAAATTTGAGTATGTTATGCCACTTTTATGTTTATACTTTGTGTAAAATGTTTAGAATTTTTGAACTAAGTTTGATAGGGTAAATAATTTATTTGAGTATTCTGCTGAAAGTTGTTTTAATTATGATAAATTGGTCGGTTGCTGAAAACATCTGATATTTGGTCGAAATACTTGTTTTATGTGGTGTTTCATGCTCTAAAAAGATTAGAATTTTTGGGTTTCAAATTGGTTTGGTTTTAATTAAAATTTGAAATCTGCAAAAACTTGTACGAATTTCTAAAATTCGTGTAGTTTATTTTAATGGCTAAAATTTTTATATATTGTCACTCACATACTGTAGTTTAAGGTGTTAAAATTTCAACTCCTGATTCGTTCATTAGGACTGGATGTTGAATTTATGTTTATTTTTGCTATTTACTTGTATGAATTTTATAAAATCATGTGCTTTGAATTTGAGGTTGAAACTTGGTGGTTTTTCTAAGTACTAGGAGGTGTATTTTTGGTTAAAATTTCAGAGTCTAATTCATAGAGGAACCTGATCAACTAGTTTTGTGATTATTGGTTAGTATTTTCAAAATATGGTTTTTGTGTTAAAAACTGTAAATCGACTCGCCTTCTGTTTCTTTGTTTGTTTGACTTGATAAATCTTTAATTGAGATTATGTGAATTCCCATGTGTGTTTGGTTGAGTCTTAGAGCCGAGTCTAAGTGTTTCAACGTCCACAGGACTTCACGAATAACTTAGTCGAATCAAGTTCGACTAAGTCTGATTTGTGTTTTCCGCTTAAGTTCAAGATAGATATTGATTGTAGGATCTTGACTTATTGTAGGTGTTCGAGGAGTCAAGCCTCGACCTATGTCTCTTCTGTTTTTGCGGTTATCAGACCGGAATCCAAGTGGGTTAGTTATTCTAAAAAGTCTATGCATATGCGTGTTTAAATGTGTTTGAAAAATTTGGTATGATCTATATATGAAGGTGAGCATGTAGCCTATCGATGTGAGCTTGATGGCCGTTGGTACGGTTGTCCATGTCGATGTAATACGATTTTCCTTGCGAGGCAAGTCTCTTTAAGACCTATGAAAGATCGTGTCCTTGCGTTGCACGCACTCTCGCCGTTAGGGTAATGAATCCCCTTTCCGCGACTAATGAAAGATGTGTACACAGGAGTGAGCCATTGATGTGGCAAGAGTCATTGATGTGACTAGAGATAAGACATGATGTTATTATTGTTTATGTTCATGCTGCGACCATACCATTGTTATCTTGTTCATATGCATAGTGTGAGTAGGATATTTCCAACTGTACTGACTCCCACCTGCTCTTCACGGATGCAGGTTAAGCAGTTGGCGGGTGACGAGACAAGGCGAGTGGTGGTCTCGTTTAGTGATTTATGATTATCAGTATTATTGCTTCCACTCTTATGAATTCATTATGACTTGGATTGTCCTTTCCCTCGTGTTTTGAGATATTGATCATGTCATTTGAATCTTGGATAATGTTTGATTTCATGGTTTTGGAATTTAATAAATGCTAGTAAGATTTTATATCTATCTATCATGCAAGTTCCATTTTTAATTGATGTGTTTGGGATTTTCGATTAATAGTTCTTAGTAGTTAAGTAGCGCCCACTGAGTTTTAAACTAAATTTGAGATTTGCGAAAAATTAACTCGGATTTTTATTAATTAAATTTGATAAATCTTTTACAATAAAGTGGGGCGTTACAGTTTGGTATCAGAGCCAGTCTGCGTTTCTGTAGACTGGTTTATATGTGAGTAACTTGTTTATGTGTTTAGACTTTTTATATCGACCACTCGTCTTCGTCATGCCGCACTGCTTAAAGGTATGTTTTATAAGTATCAATGAAAATACTTAATATGTGAAATTTGTATTTTTACATAAGTAGTAATGAAACTACTTGTGTTGTGAACTGATATATAAATATATATGTATCATGTAATTATTTGGGGTTAGGAAATCTATCCACCTTTCGTTTATGGTTGAACTCCAGTGATATAGAGTCAAGTTCGGACTCTAGAGGTTCCTTGTTATGAGTTTCAGTATTGTTGATGTCTGAAAATGACCAACAATGTGTTCGAACTGTATACTAGAATGTATACTCGATTCGGTCTGCACGAATAGGAATTTGTATGGTATTCGGTACAAAAGATAGTACGAATGTAAGCTCTATCCGTGACTTATATGGTATTTAATGAGAGCATTTACTCCTTGCATTTAATTTTGCCTCTTGCTCTTTTTATAGGAAGTGTGAGGACATATTACATCTCCATTTTTATGTTTTCTTTTCCCTTTTTGCTTTA